AAGCAAGATTTTGACGAGATAAGGTTTTATGTTTCTTTTATTAGACCAACTGAAACTATGTAAGTAACTATAAAAGCAGAAATCTTCCCTAAAAAGCCTCTAATGTTGTTAAGCAACAAACCCACTGCTGCAGTTTTGTAAAGGATCTCAAAAACTACGCTCATTTGGAAGAGAAGCAAAGCCTCTGAAATTGTAATGTTTTTCATGAGCTTTCATTTCAGGTCATTCAAAACTTTTTACTTTTTACCACAGAACAAAACTAAAATGCTACAGAAAAACCCGATGCAAAGCCTAAGCCAAAGGCTTTCAATCCAGTATTATGGATAATACGTAGTGTTTATAATGCACATTTTAATATAAAAAGAAGTGAGTACTGAGTGACAGAAAACAGATATATGGTACAATTTTGCTTCGGCACAACTGGACAAAGCTACCTGAACAGTATTACATGAGGGTGACCAGAAGGGAATGCGAACCAAAGACCACCAGAACTTTATTTCTCTTGTGCAGAAACTGAACCTGAACTTTTACTCCAAAAATTGCCGGGCCGCAAAAATCTGAACCAAGAAGCGCTACATCAGATCACAAGTGTAGAGTAGTGATTTCACCAAAATCTAGGTGGCCCTGTCAAACAGCATGACCATTTGCACGTGCTGTCACCTGCAGAGCCTCCTCACCTCTCCCACCACCATGCACCAGCACGACCCTACAGACTCGTCGCTACCCACTCCTCTGCTCAGGGCCCTGTCACAGGTGCTCGAGCTGAGCTCTGGCCCCTCATGGGGACGTGGCCATGTGTTCTACTCTTCTCCCATGTGGGAAAGCCTCAGGCTGTTACCTGTAACAGGGCCTGACAGTGCGCCTTTCATCCCCATCAACCTGCATTTGTCCTTCGTACTATCACCAGTGTCCTTCTGTGTCCAGCACGTGCTGGATCTGCTTCTGTAAGGGGGCAATTCTTGAGGGCGGGCAGGCACAGACAGGAGCTTTGGGGCATTTCTTCCATTTTCTGCTTCCCCACTGACCTCATACAGAGGGTAAAATGGAATTTCTTCCAGGCCCACATGAGGGATTTGAGGAGTCAAAAAGATGCCACAATGCTTTGCTGGAAATACAAAAGGCATCCTACTATTGGTAGGAGAATGGGAAGAGGGTGCTAACCCCCCACTTTCCCCTGGCCCTCTCTATTTAGAAAAAAAGTCCTATTTTCTGATGTAAGATGATACGGGCTTGCTGACTTGGTTAACAAACAGTTAACCTCAGTTGGAACAGTCAAAACCAAACTGGAATCAAACTGAAAAATGTCCTGGTTTGAGTCCTTGCTTACACCATTTATAAAGCGTGTGATTCCGTGTCTCCCTCCAGCTGTCACTGATCGGAAGCTATATATAGGAGAAGACAAAGCAGCAGCCTCAGTGATGTATGAAAGCTCTTAGCAGTGAGGTTTTTGTGTATGCAACTGAAACAGCAGCACGGTGTGCTCTTGTACGTATTTTGTACAACAGCATAAACACTGAGGACCAAATCTAAGAAAAATTCAGCAACTCTTCTCTAAAAAGAAATTGCTATCTATTTGTGCCTGTAGCACCACAAATCTCCCAGTCTCCTCATGAAAACTTCTGGACTCTTCTTGTAGTATCCTCAGCTCTGCTACATCATATGGGAAAATGGAAATCCGTAATGTCCAGCTGTAAAGGATACTGTCATGCAGGCACAATGCCCAGGATGTGTCAATCTTTCCATGTTTTTTAATTGTTTCTTTAAAGCCAGTTTGTTTACAAGATTCTTTAGTATGAAAACATTCTGCATCTGGTTACAAGCAACAGTTGCTTACTTTACCAATACAAAAAAGTGTGTATGTGAGTTTGAAATGCCCCAAGGAAAATCAGCATGCAGATAACAGTGCAGATCAGGGAGACCACTCCAAATAGCTCTTAAGAATATATCCCATTATGAGAACATAAGGAGGCCTGTTTCAGAGGAAACAGTACATCACCAATGAAATCAGATTCATTTTTTTGTATGACAAACAGAAGTGTCACATGCAGCAGCTTTTATAAAGTAGCCGTTGTAGGTCATTATTGCAAAGTACAAACACATTTAATTTTAAATAATCTCCTTTTAAATGAACTTTGTGTTACTACCTGAATCCATCTTTATTTGCCTCGGTGAGATGGCAGGTCCCTCCATTCTGACATGGATTTTGAATGCAAGAATTAATGGGCACACTGCAGTCTCGACCCTATTTGGGAAAATTCAAAAAAAAGAAGGTTAGTAAGACTCATGTCACCTGAATCAACGTCTCTTGCTCCCTCACCCTACGCGTGGCACCATGTACAGGAGGTCTGTGGTCTTCAGACTCATCGTATCACCGTTACTGATGGACAGTTATATTCATCACTCAAGTGAGAATAGGGGTAGGGCAACTATTCTGACCAATGGGACTGGTGGGTATCTTGGTATCATTTCTGTTTCAAGACTTTAGTTAACTCTTTCGTTTGAAAGTTTCAAGGAAACTGCTGATTTCATCATTACTCTAACACACGTTAGACTCTAATGTTAGATACCCTGAAAAGAATTAGTCATGACCAAAGGTAAGCAGAAGGCCACACACCGTCAGCACAAGACCACATAGTCAGCACTCATTCACCCACAATCACCAAGTGCTCAGTTAAGCACTGCAACAGAACACCGAACTTGTTACTATGCATCACCAAAACCTAAAGGGGCAAATTCATTTTTACCGTGGAAGCTGAGTTTGAATTTCTCTACAGAACACACTGAATCCTGTTTGAGATATCATCACTGAATCAGCTCCCGTCTTAAAGATTGCCCTAAAATATACATCAGGTCCAACCGAATATCACTAGCTTGAACAACCTTCCCTGTTACCAACTGATTTTTTTATTGGCTCTTCAAGGCACAGTCATATTTCTCTGATCAGTACATTCTTCTGATTATAACAACCTATTTGAAAAATTGGCAAATACATCAAAGAATTTGGTCTTGCTTTTCAGTTACTCACACAGTAGGGTGGAATAAAGACACCTGAAAGTCTCAATACTCAAGGGATCTGTGCAATCACAAGAAGTTCAAGAGCTCTCTACTCTTCCTACTGAAGATCCTGTTAGCAGTGGCTCTCTGCCAGCTCATCTACTGGAAAGCTGATACATGACTGTAATCAAGATGAGAAAAATATCTCAGGAGATACATTAATTCAGTCAAGGTTGCTGGTTTTGTTTATTTTTATTTTTTTTCCCCCTTGGTTTAAACCCCATTATTTACATTGTACTTCAGAGGAATAACAATGGTATGTCTATTTGTAAGCCTCTAAGCAGAGAAGGCAGATGCCAGCCTGTGACATCAGTTCTTACCAGCTGTAACTTTTGCGTATTAGTGCTGAACGCTACCTCGCGGCTGCTAACTTCCCTTGCTGACAACACTCATCAGAAGTCCTTCCTTCCTCCACTGAATTTGCCAGAGCTTCTGACCCTTTTCAGACTTCACATACCTGGTGTGATGTACTGAAGTGGGGGACACTCAAATAGTTTCTATAGTCTCATTTTTTTATGATGGCTGGGTTGTCAAAACGAAGCATCTTGATGCTTCAGCCACATAATACACGAGAGCAACTGTTGGTTGTTTTTCCACCTCGCTCTGAGACTTCATTGTTCTCACCTAAGATACACTGTGACATTAGAATTAATGAGAAAACTAACGCTGTACTTGGCAGATACCTGCCAACAATTTTCTTGCCTCAGGATAAATACAGTGGGGTTAGAAAAGAACTGCCAAAATGTTCAAGGAGATGAAGCAACTACTTTAGAAGAAGATACTATACAGACTAGGACTCTTTAGTCTGGAGAACCAAAAAAGCTGATGGGGGTGATATGATTGAGGTTTACAAAATCAGGGAGGTAGCAAATGCAGAATCTGTCACACACTAAATCCCTCAGCAGTTAGAGGGACACTGATTTCAGAAGATGAGCTTAATACAGACTGAAGAAAATACTTGTTCCCAGGTATAAGCTTCTGGGATGTTTTTGCCACAGGAGGTTGTGAAGTCAGAGAGTATAAAAGCCATCAGACAAATTCACGGGCAATTGATCCCAACCAGACAGGAAAGGCAATAAGCAGTCATCAACATCCCTAGTTGGATGATGGTGGGTGCTGGGAGAACTGGAGAGGGGTGGTGGCCAGGCTTGTGTACTCTCCTCAAACTTTGCTTTTGCAAACTTTTGCAAGATTTTCTGCTGCTCCCATGAGAGAGAGAATGCTGCAACAAACACACTACAGACCCATTATTGCATTTCTCACGTTCTTATGTCAAAGTCGCCTCAAAGGCTTATTTGGCTCTCAACATAAGAAATCGTTCCCTACCTTTTTCCGAAAGAACCTAGCTGTTGCCTGAACCAAGACTACAGGTTTTTGTGTGTTACAAGGGAACAGATCTTTCAGGAAAACCACACAAGGATGGATTTGATCAGTTTGTCTATGGCCGCATGTCTGTTTGGGAAATCTTGCTCTAGAGCAAAGAATAGGCTGGTCACATCTCTCTAAACCTTGCTCAACACTGCCCACCTCTCTTACATGCTACATTGATCAGAAGTTCATGCTCAGCTCTTGACTGGTATGCCCATTTCCAGCAATGTGCCCAGCCTGGGGGTGGCAAGGCAGCAGGACAGGCGGTGCTGGTCCTGTGACAGCTCAAGCTTCATTCATGCTTTAGGTACTATATAAATAATAGTAGCAATCTTACTTTGTCTCTGGAGTGTTTATCTTGAAATTGATGCAGTCTCTATTAAGCTAAAGCCATTAAAAAACCAAAACCAGCTTCTAAGTGTGAACTTTTCTAGCGTTCATTTGATGTGGTCTCTACTCATGGTGCTAGGCTCTCCCAGGCAAGTGTCATACAGTGCAGTCCTCCAAATGCTACCGAAATCTTCAGCATTTTGTCAGGTAGGACATGCTGCCATCGTACTGTGAGCAGAACTGAAACACACAGGACTTATACTTTTGTCCAACACCACAGAGGAGCTTTGTTACAGAAATGGGAGACAAAGCTGTATTTCTTGAGGCTCCATCCCCAGAGAGGAGAAGCAGCTTTGCATTTTAAAATTTGTGCAGATACAAGGAAACAGGGCCATCCTTTCCCTTGGCTGAAGCAGAAGAGAAACATTTCCAAAGAACAGCAGCAAGACCTGGCCAAGCCCCTGCCTCGCTGTGAGTTCATTCCCCCAACCCAGCAGCACGTGAAGACCTCACCCAAGACCTGGCAGAGTGGGTTTCTGCTTCATCCGTGCTCCATTTGCCAAACAGCCTGTCCTCCATTTGAAATCCCGAGCCCCCAAATGGCTCAGGGAAGAATTGGGAAAGAGCCGAGGGAAGCTCACGCAGGTTTTCTTTCGGCAGCAGGTGGTCTGCGGCACTTCACGGATGCGAGCAGTGCAGCGTTAACGCTAATCCGCCGCCACCCTTCTGCAACACTGCCTGGGTTTTGTCCATCTGTGTTGTGAATCCTGTGTGTTTACTACGTTATCCTAGTGAGGCCGGAAGATGCCAGTTTTTATACTTCTAAGATCACAAATACTTCTCCTGTGTCCCTGAAGAACTGACTATTTTACAGATACTTCCCTATCATCAGTTACTTCTGTTTTACATGAAATCTTCATCCCTGTATCACTAACATATTAAACGCTTTGCAGCTCAGCATAGCAAGGGGCAAAGCAGAACCCACAGCATTTGTTTTGCTGAAGGGTTTTGTCACAGCTGAAACAGTGGAGAACGGTCCCATCACTTCTACTGTAATTACTCAGATTATTTTGAATGTTCTTGTGAAAATTTAATAAAGATAAATGTTAAAATGAGAGCAAGGCATTTTCAGCCTCTCTCACTGACATATGAAATTTCTCATGACTTAGACTCAGCTCTCATTTCTGTACTGAACATGGCTGAATTATTGGCTTCTTGGGCCTCAGGCACCATGGAAACCGATTAGTATGTGCTGCTGAATCAGACTTAATTACAACACTAAGTTGCTATGTGGCTTTAGGAAAATTAGAGTCTCTCTGACTCAGTTTACTCATTGTAATAAATGAGCAAACAGCATTTAATCCTTCTCTGCGGATTATCTTCTCTGAGTTGACTTTATCAATGGCACATGGAGAGCCCACAGAACAAGTACAATTTCTCTAACAGAAGACTCTGAAAACCAGAGAATTCTGAAAGGAGAGAAGCTGCAGAAAATACTGGTACTAATAAATCAACAGCAAAGCAAGGCCATTTTATTTCTGTATAAGACTGTCACTTCCCAGAAGAGCCTAAAGACATTCTAGAAACATCTTTCAAATGAATAATGCAGTTCTCTAGTCTCAATTTACAGTAAGCCTGTTCTTACTGGAAAAATGGAACTGCTGTCAAGCTTCACAAAAATTAATTTATCTATGAGTTGGGGAGAACTCTTTGAATCACATTCCCTGGAAATAACTATTTTTACAAAGGAGAATATTGTATATTTGCTTCGAGACTAAAGAGCCTTTTAATGAAGTCTGAATCAGAAAAGGAGGTGCAGACTTTGTTTCAAGGACAGACAAGAAGATATAACTGTCTCAGCAATTCAGAGAAAGAGGATGAAGGTCCCTCTGTGTGCAGTATTTTATTTCTAGAGCATTTTTAAGCTGCAATATATTTTTGTCTAGTCTGATAGGAAAGCATCAGATCCAAAACACTTTTCTCATTTTCTGCAGGAGAGGAAAGAATTAGGTGTCGAAACATGACATTTCTGCAACTAATCAGAACACATGTATGTTCAGAGCCCAGCTGCCTTTTTAAATCTGAAGTACCTCAGCTGCTCCAGATTTTATCTGGGCTCCTCCAGCTCCATATTTCAGTGAATGAGAACAGAAACTATCCACTGCGTTTAGGAAGTGTCAGTTCTTCATTTCATACTCAACAGTAATTAACCGTACTGGGCATTAGTGCATACACAAGCTGTTCCTCAGTACTGCTGTGCCAAATTCTAGCCTTTACAAGTAGCCAATACTGGAAAACATTACATCATGATTAGTAAAACACCCAAGAACAAGTAGCAGAAAACGAATAAGGAACTCAGCAGGACGAACAAAGGATAATGTGATAAAATAGCACTCATTTGCTTTGACACTGTTTCAACCACTGCAATGATCTTTTTTTATAATTAATTTTCACAAATTAGTACTGTCTGTGGAAACAGAAAGCTTTGTT